ATGTCACCGTCTACCTGTTGGACCACGGTTTGTATGCTGTAAGTTGTAGCAAAGTGTTTCATACAGGTATTACAGGAGTTTTATTGAGAAAGCAATCTGTTTTACTGGTCAAACAATACTAATTACTTAACTAACCAAAACTTTTACTTTTTGCATTTTCCATTTGTTTTCTAATTCAACTATGAATAGCCATTTAAATTAGGATTTTGTTCTGAGCTGTAGGTGCATTTGCAATTTTTTTTTACGTATATCATGGAACACAAAGAATTTCCGTACGGAAGTCGAACACGCTATACATTGTGTGGTAGACGGTCGCCTTACAACTACTTGGTTACTGCGGCAGTTTTAATATAATATGAAAACAACATAGTACTTTGTCTATTTCTATTGTATCATTAGATATACTATTTTTTATCATTTAGCCATATAACACAAAAATAAAAGGGTCACATGACAAATAGATGGAACTTATAATGATCTTGGCAGAATACCAATTGACGTAATTTACCGTCATGTATATTGATTATGGTGGTTCTTTATTATGGAATAAGACAGACGATACTGATCGAATATTTCGGAAGTTGCGTGTCATGAATCTAAAATTGAGATGGGAAGGCCACAATGATGTATAAAACTATAGATACGTTGTCCGCGCTCTAAAATGGCAACATGAAATGAAGGCAATTGACAACATCGCGCTTAGTTACGCACCAACCTGCCGCGCGACGCTACGTTTGTTTTTAATTTATATCGTGTGTGTAAACCTGTGCGAAACATAAAGAAAGCATGTCGTCGTGTGTGTTCAGACGATGTACAAATTATACTCCAAAAGTTAAAGACAAAAATGTGTCATTTCATGCGTAAGTTCACCAAACAACCTATTTTTATTTTATTTTTTTCGACGCCGGCGCCCGCCATCTTATGGCGGCCGGCGCATGAAGGTATAGTCACGTGCCGTCGGCATAACTGAAGATGTATATTTATCTCCCTCTAGCAAAAGCATTCCACTATACGATGTCATATTTTCTTTCCCCTTCTTTACTTGTAGAAGTAGTTATCTATAGTCCGGTCAATTTAGACATTCGAAGTTACATAAAGTCCCAACAAGCTGAATTTCTGTGAAATTGTTCAAAACATATTTATAAACAATGTCTAAAAGTTCCCCATCATTCCCCTGTAAGGAAAAATTTTTGTTCAAGGTCAAAGGTCAGAAAAATGAGTTTTTCTCGATTTGCAGCAAAACGGTAAGTTTTATGATAAAAGGACTTCTGACAAAAATTGTAGTTCATAAAATTATCTATAAAAAATGTATCAACACTTTTTTCTTACGACCCACCGTTTCTGAGATATAACGATTCAAAAAGTTATAAAAGTTGTTATTGTCATAGTATGCATATACATCAAGAGTTGTTACATTTATATATTATATGTTTATGAATGTTTAAACATTTTCTATCGGTCATTGTAACTTCATCACTATCACTAAATTTTAACAACATCTGCATTTTACAAGAGGGGTAAAACAGCAGTTTTCAAAATGTTTGAAAACAAGTTTTAATTCAGTGTGCTGAAGTTTTTAAAAAGAGTAATTCAAATCAACAAGGGCATCCACTTTCTTCTTTCTATGTACGGAGCTCCTAAAAGAACTACCTGTTTAGATAAGCATCGATATGCATGTTTCGTTAACAATACTAAAAATAAAAAACAAGTTCAATTAGCTTATCTTTCTCTAACCTCAGTTGCTGCTCACCAACATCTTCTTCGAGTATATTACCAAGTTCAAGTGTGGCTTGGTTATCAGCTACAGATTGGGGTTGAAATTTGGTCAACAACATATTAGATCCAGTTCAAACATTACTCCCACCAGCGCCGGAAAATCTGCTGAACACTATTTATTGCAACTGCAAAAAGGGATACAGTGCTAAATGTGGTTGCAAAAAAGTCGAGCTATCTTGTTCTTTGGCATGCACAAATTGTCAAGGCCGGTCGTGCTCTAATGTTGAATCACAAACAATAAAGGATTCGTTTGACTCCGACGAAGTATCATGTGATACATCGCTATTGACGCAATTTGCTTGCATCCAAAACGCATCCATCGCTTTTATCTTTCTACAACAATCTTTGAAAATTTCCGTTATTTTGAGATAGTTTTACATTAACAGGATGACAAATGACCCGTAGGGTAGGCCTACTGAGGAAACCACGCTAAAAAAAACGTGCTAAGTACTCTACCTCATAGGTGGCGTGGAAAGGTGTGCATATTATGACAATAACAACTTTTATAACTTTTTGAATCGTTATATCTCAGAAACGGTGGGTCGTAAGAAAAAAGTGTTGATACATTTTTTATAGATAATTTTATGAACTACAATTTTTGTCGGAAGTCCTTTTATCATAAAACTTACCGTTTTGCTGCAAATCGAGAAAAACTCATTTTTCTGACCTTTGACCTTGAATAAAAATTTTTCCTTACAGGGGAATGATGGGGAACTTTTAGACATTGTTTATAAATAGGTTTTGAACAATTTCACAGAAATTCAGCTTGTTGGGACTTTATGTAACTTCACCCTCATTTTTTGGTCTAAATTGACCGGACTACTAGTATTGTCGCCGTTTTTTAGCCCCGCGATGTTGGTTCATGACGTGTCTATATATAATACGTCATTGGAAGGCCACATATTTGATTTGCATTATTTTTAATAGACCCAACGTCACAATCGTTGAGTTTTTTTGTTACAAAGGCTACGAGTATTCACATTGCCTACCAAAAGAAAATTTCTCGATTGGCGCATTGGCTGGGCGATCAGCTGCTGTGTGTTGATCTTCGTACGGAAGAATTCTTTCGAAGTTTGAAAGTGATGTGCATGTGCACCCACGACACACTAGAAAAACCTAACGGACCAATATTCTTTTAAAAGGCATATCTAAGTAGGTATTTGAATATCTCCTATATCTTAAAAAATAATCGTCTTTTTTTCAGCAACTATCAGAAAAGTTTAGGTACCATTATTCAAAGTTATGGTTATCAATCATTGACCGTAATCGTGATGATATGCGGGTTCACGCGGAAGAGTTGGGGATACGCAAGGAGTTATATGGATTGTTTGCTTGTATGGTTACTGGGAGACCTTGGGACTCCATCATGAAGGGCATTGGACGGACGAGACCAACGTCAGATGAGGCAAGTAAATGAGTTTATTTCTTGGCAGATATAGGTACTTAATACAAAATATAGACGTAAGATTTTTTTGTGATATGCAACAAGGGCTGATGAAATGATGCAAAATCTTGCGACAAATATTCTCCTAGCTTGAAATGCTGCGAAGGCCTGCTTGCTTGACCTATTGTGGTAAAGCTAGAAAAACTTAACTAAATCGAAAAAATTTGATTGCATTGTTAGAAGACAATTAATTTATAATACAAATCTCATTGAACAATTTATCGGTAGTCTAAGAGATATTTATATTCAGGTTGTACGTATTTACATTACGTAGTCTACAGTTATGTTTTATTTCTTTTTCAGAAATCAACATTCCAAAATGAGTTACCAAACATTTTGCACTATGTTACACAATGTTTAGAGCACGTCGATAGACAGGCGCTACTAGTGTTAAAAACGAACGATCTTATTCGCAGCATAGAATACGCACTCGGAATGCAAGATCGAATGTGTGGCTTTGTTGTCATGAGCCAATGTTGTGTACAGAGTGTGTACAACCTCGAGCATAAGGTAAGTTCTTCTTTAAACATACCTATTACGAAAGTCTTAAAAAATTGGTCGCGAGATTGCTTTTCTGGTCAATTGTATTTGTGTTCGTCGAAGGTTGATGTTACAAAATCAACAATATTTTATGAACGATATTTTTTTCTTAATTTTATTCGACATTTTCTATTTGTTTCAGAATGCAACATCCGTGTTTAAGAAATCGTTATTAAACCTCAAGTTTGGCTGGTCATTACTGTTGTTATATTTCTACAGTTTTTATTTAAAAGTACATTTTATGGTAAATAAATAGTTGCAATTATTAGTTTAATTGGGAAAGGTAAAGGCATGCTTAAGTCTGAATAAAATCAAAGAAGCTTTGGATGTTTGAAGACGGATAAATATGTAGGACAAGTGCGCTTGTAAGAAACGAATATAATACAGAAGTGAACAGAACAAATAGTTTAACACGTGAACGTAATTTTACTATGAAGTTTAGCTTTATCTATTGCAATACTCAGATATCATATTTTTTATTCCTCTTGTTTGGTCCAAAACACAAATAAACTGCAGCTCTTTAGATTACATTTATTGACGTTAGCAATCAAAACTGGTTTACATGTAAATACAACCAAAGAATGCCGTCCATCTTTGACTACAATAAAAAACGAATGTACAGAATCTAGATTGAACGAAAACATAAATATTAAATTGATCACGGTTATTAAAATATAAATACACAATAAATAAAGTTTTGTACTAATTCATAAAATCAGGTCCATATAAAATAATGTGAAGCTATTCTATTGGTTGTGAATCAGTTTCTTGCTAACATTTTGAATGGTGCTTGTAGGTATATACTGGGCTTCAACTTCAAAACTTCATTTGTAATTAGTGTTATACCAAGGGATAGGCAAACAAGTTAATATTCGGTTCGGTTACAAAGGTGATGTTCACTAGTAACGAATAGTTATACTAGTCCACATAATATACCTCTAATGTATTATTCTTGTACATAACGGAACAGTGTTAGAACTGACATTTGTAAATAATAATCAAAATAGTATCACAATTTTATACCATATTTAATGTTAAAATAAAAATTGTTATTATTTTTGAAATAGAAATGTATTTATTACTATACTTTTATGCAGTTTTATTGGAGTGACTGATTGTTATTGGTAAAGTTTGAACTAAATTATTTGAATGTACTAACGTAGTTCAAACGTAGTGACGTGAATGCGCGTTTAAGTTTTATAAATATTACGAAATATCATAAAAATATTATGTAGACAATAAAAAACAAGAACTGAAGACAATTATTCTTATATTTTACTATAAACATTCACAATCAAACCAGAAATTCACGCAGGCAGCTTAGTTTCCAACACGGATAGTTTATTACTCAGTGTAGACAAATCGCTTTGTATTTTTAGGAGAATATTTGTAAAATTCTCACTACTCTTCCTTCTGTTCATTCTGAAGAGTGAAGTGCTAGAAATTCGACAGGATAAGTCCGACTTTTTGAAGTCCGATAATAAGGTGTTCTTCGTCTGTTTGTTGCTGGATATGCGGAGTTTGTTAAACTCTATTGTATCGTTGGACAAAGTAGATTGAGCTGGAACAAAGAGAATATAACCAAATGTTTGTTGAATGTTGAATGTTTATATTCTCTTTGAGCTGGATAAACATTACGTTACTAATTAGGCTTTAAGACCTTAAAAGAGATGCCGTATCATAGCTTTCATGAGCCCAAAAATATATGAGGAAATCATGACCCACTGCGTCTCCGTAAACGAGTTTTGTGTCGTATTATTATTATGAAGGAGTTTGGTTAAACACTCTAATGTTGGAGTAACTGTAGTTACGATTTGAAGGTCATGGGTTATCTATTATTATCATTCTAAGTACTTAAATGTGCTGTGTATGAAAATATAGCTACACAACAAAGTACAAAAAGAGATACCGTACATCCACCCTTTAGTTGAGTGGTCATATCTGCTGTTACTGAATTTTGAAGTGTTATTTATACAACTAAGTATGTCTACTCTTTCTCTCTCGGAAAGTGAGTGATAAAGATGATGACCTTTTGGCATTATTTCCACGTTGTAATACTATATAAAACTTATACCATGATGTTGATAATCAAACGGTTAACAAGACAGCGAAGTTCCTCATAGGTAATAGATTCTAGCATATCTATCTAAGCTAGAAACTCAAACATATTTTAAAGAGAAAACTCATTTAGTACCTAATCAGATACCTACCCAGGCAGATAATTGTTAGTCAAGACATGACTGTGCATATCTAGGGTCCACAAACATATTATAATGACAAACGTTTCGTTGAATAGAAATTTCCTTTTCAAGTATGTCAACCTTATGTTGGGTAAGCTAAAATGATCCTTATAGCGATGATTTTAATAAGGTTTTACTTAAACAAATGGTATCATGATGAACTGGAGTGTTGGAAAGTGCTTTGTAATGAACGCTATGGGATAATATAGAAAAGTGAAAGTTTTTCACATATGGGATGTGCTTGATGATGGAACTAAACTTTTTAGCTCTAAGAATGTTGATTAAAACGTTTCAAAACTTGTCTAAGTCTATAATGTAGAGCTAGGTACTTAGGTAACTAGGTGTCTACCTACCTGGCTGTGGGTATGTACGTTCTTAGGTATGCCTTCAAGGGATATCTAAATTTAATTGTCAAGTGTGTTTCTAAAACACTTACAGAAGCAGGTACCAGCACAGAATTTATCATCGTGCTCCTTGAGGGTGTTCTCATAAATAATTGAGTCATTCTGTTTCCGATTTGCAAATTGTGATTCTTCTTCACCGTTGCCGATTGTCAGCATATTGTTGTTGATAGTCGTTGAGGCTGTAAGTACATAATTAATTGCGGACATCAAATTATTTAGTCACCAGTACTTACCTCTCCGCTCATTGCCAACATTAAATGTGATAATTTATTCGACAAATAATTTGCGTCATAAGTAGGTACCTACAGTTGTGAATCAGTTAGCATGTTACCTCTTTCCTATAAAGTTGGGTGCTTGTGTAAATGTATGTATAGAAGAATGTATAGAAGAAAGAAATGAATGTATAGAAAGGTGACAAAATACACAAGTATCTAGGTACATGCATTGGTAGATATGTACCTATACCATTAGACGATCTTGTAGGAGAATGGTTTCGTAAAATATTTTCAATTATATTGACAATCTATGGCCTTTGCTTTGACTCGGGTCAGGCAATTACTAGGCTTGCCTGATCTCTATTAGATGTTTAGGGTCGACAAGGATAATGGTAAAATATCGAGCAGGATTTTGGACACCGTCCCAAGTCGCTTATTAATCATACTTTAACCAAATTAATGTTATGTGAATTGACCACGGAATAACCTTAGTAATCTGTTGCTAACAATATAAATATGAACACCACCGGTATATAAGAAACTAGCTACTCTCACGCGGTTTCACCCGCTGCTCGGCTCCATTTAATCGTAGCGTGATGTTTAATAGCACGCAGGAATATTGTAGCTATCTATCAGTAAAAGAATTTTGGAAATCCGACTAGCAGTTCCAAATATTACCCCCTACATACAAACTTACAAATTTTACCTCTTTATAATATTAGTATAGATAGGTAATTAAATATTGAATATAAGCCAAAATCAACGGGGATATACTATACGGGGATAGGGGATGCTACTTTTGCTCCCTGATGGTGGAGAAATAGAATCAATAGGCTTAAATATTACTCACATGAAAGATGGTTAGCATTGTTTGGTAACCAAACTTCAAGGACAAACGGGTTGTGGGGGTTATTGCCCTTTCTTAAGTCGGTCAGCGGTATCACATCATTGTTCGACTTGAGTAAGATGATCTCTTCACAAAAATCGGGCAGATCCAGTAAATGCCATACTTTTTGACGTAACACCATAATCGAGGCCGAAGGCCTTACTGCTATGTAGCGGAGAGTGTCTTCGAGCACTAAAAAGCGGAAGATTTAAAATGTTGGCGGTATTTTTATCTTTATAGCTATTTGACAGATTTAAAAATTGCATTCGATTCTTGCTACTTATATTGTTACTGTAAGCACTGTGAGAATCAATAGAGCTGGACAAACTTGGCTTTACTACTTACCGCAGATGTATCTTCAATATGGTACTTAATAAACTACCCTCACATATTCTTAGTTTTAGAATAATCGCTCTATACAGTGCCGAAATAAAAGAGTTTCTATGCAACTGCGTATAGCAGTAGCCTTTTGCTACAGAGTTTATAATAGTGCCCTGCATGCTGCATCCGATCTGAACTATGTTCAAAATAATGACAAAGTTCTTACTTCCGTTAGGTACTTACCCCCCAAGTCATATCTTCGAATGATCAAAAATGTTATGACTTCTTTCTTAAACAATTTTATTGGGGCTTTTAAGAGCTTAGTTAGTGACATCCTTATTTATAATCACTATCTGCTACTCTTAAAAGCTAACATTACACAACTGGCATAATATTCCTTAACGCATTTTTGCAATTTTGTATCCTACTAATTACTTAATGTCAACGTCATGGATGACATTGGTTTTTGGTTAGTTTTTTTGTGTCTATGGTAGTTATTTGAAAAGGAGTTCCTACCTTCTATTTATTTGTCTTCAATGACGTCATACCACCCACATAACGTTATTGGGGCTGGTACCAATTGTTCACTAGATGACGAGGTGAGATAGATGTGTCCAACCACTGCATAATAATATATTTGAAGGCTTATAAGCGTGACAGTGACATTCCCATCATATAACATTTTAGATTTAGACATTTATTGTAATCCATTTAGTTTATCATAGTCATAATATAAATAACTTACCTTTATAGTTGCTGACAGTTCTGTTGTAGAAATCCAATGTGTTTAATCCAATCCAAATACGTTAAAGTAGGTAAGACAAAAATAATCAACAAAAAATAACAAGCAAAATGTAATAAATTAAATTGTTCTATTAACAGTCATATTTTCTTAACAATTTGTCCGTTTCTAGTATTTTAATATTAAAATCAAATAAACTTAATACTCTGACACCGATATTTTTCTTAAGATAAGCTCTATCTTTGGAAATTAACTTAATTTTACTGCCTGGATCGCGTACATCAGTTGTTGAAATTGAGAGAAGTCCCAATGACCAGTAACAGGATTCAATGTAATGCCGTAAGTTAGTTCTACGTGACAGTTATCTGGAAAAAAAAGTTGAACATTGAGACATGTCTGCCAGGGTTGAGGGACAATCGCAATAAGGTACCGCGGCTTGGGCCTAGAGTAGGAAAAGGAATGGAATGGTATTTAGTCAGTAAGAATCTGATAGTCTCACGCCTCACCCTGGGCGAGGGGAGTTATCTGATTATTTCCCCCCCAAAAAGGTACATACCTATTTATGTGTACTTATTAAGAAAAAAATAAATACCTTTAAACTTATATTATTTAAAAGAAAAGAAAGCACCCATATTACTTTCCTTATCAGGAAAATGTAGCAAATAAAGTTTTATTTAAGTTAAGTTATAATGTACGTAAACCAAATACTAGAACCTCTATTATCATTATCGCGATACCAATAAAAGGTCAGACCTGCAGTTGATTTTCCGTATCATGTCACACAAAGAATCACTACATAACTAGTATAAAACAAAGTCGCTTCTCTGTCTCTATATCCTGATGTATACTTAAATCTTTAAAACTACACCACGGATTTTAACTGCGGTTTTTTTAAATAGATGCAGTGATTGAAGAGTTTCTGGTTTGTTTGTATAATATGTAGCATCCATAGTAGTGGAGAAATTTAGTATCAGTATTAGTTTCGTTATAACTTTGAAAGAGCTAATGCCGTTTTAGTTAATTTGGATTTTAAAGCATATCCATCCAGGAAAGATTTGAACGGCGAGAAAAAATATATTAAAAAAAAATTAAGTGACATAAGATTTCTACAGGGAAGAAAACTTTCACTATAAAAACTAGGCAGTTCGCTAGGTCGGTCATCTAGTCAAAAAAAAATAAAATACACGGAAAAAATCAGGCATACTTACTTCTTTCTAAAAGAAAAGTGAGTTCATTAGGTGTAATAAACTTCTCATACTGATGGGCCCCTTGAGGTATGGTTTTAAGAACATTCTCGGCAATGTAAATAATCACGAGTTGTGACCATCTAGTTCTATTGGGGGTTGTAAAGAATATTCTGCCCCCCGGCTTCAATGCATGTATACAAGACTTGACAAACAATTCCTGGTTGTGAACATGTTCTATAACCTCCGAAGCTACTACTCCGTCATAAAGATTGGATGCGGCTTTAGCATGGTCCTGAAATATTCAAACAAGATATATTTATTTCATAACTAATATACCTAGCATTTTATAAAACAATCTGCATTCGAAACATTGTATTGTGTCGTCAAACCATTGTTTTCGATGATATAAATTAAAGTTTTTGAAATATGACGTTGACAAAATTTATTTACAAAAAAGTCGCTGGCGTTGTAACGTAATTTTAGATTAAGAAATCAGCATAACACACGGTGTTTGAGTTTAATATAAATATCGAAATGCTATGCTTCTGCACAAATGGCCCGGATGGTCGTCGTGACTTCATGGTGTTTTATCATATGAGTTAAGTTGCCGAATTTCTAATCTTTCCGTATCCCCAATTCCCAAATCCCTAACAACTCACGAAATATATTTATTGAATACGTAATTAGCACTGATTGCTTACCATCAATTGATCCATCTGGATTTTTTACCAATATACCCCATAAAAAATTATCAATTAAACATGATTTAGTCATGTGTCATGTCAATATTGGTGGTACATGGTGATAGACTATTGCCTATGCTATATTTAGTGTGCAGGCCTCCTAATCAGATCATTTCACTTCATTTTCAAAATAATAACACCAATTTTTTTTATTTATACATATAAGAAGTAAGGATATGCTACGCCAAAACATTTAAGAACAAAAAATATTCCCAACAAAGCTAACACGAAAATGATTTATATCACAACAAATTGCTATTGGGTTAGATTTAAAAAATTAGGCTTACCTCTATAGTAGTATTAATGTATTGCGGTTTGTTCTCAGCTATTTTTGGGTCAACATGTTTGTGTTGTTCGGCTATTTCAATCAGGTCTTTGCTAGCATCTATACCAGTGACAGACGCTCCAAGTCTCGCCAGCCCCTGAAATAATAATTTAATACTTTAAAAACATTGCGCCACTTCTGTGGTTGTGTAGTGGATGCATACAAATAACAATTACAAAATACAAATTACACAAAAATATACAAAGACACAAATAGATTAATTAGCAATAATGAGTTTGAGTGGGTATCTGCACAATATTTTATTAAAATGTTTTAACAACACCAAAAGTTTCCTCAATTCCTGAATACTCAATAGCAGAAATGATTAAAAAATAATAACTTTTGCTTGTATTGTAAGTAGGTGTATAAATATATTTTTTTAATGATTATACTTATTCTGTTTTATAAGATCTATAGATATTTATCTATAGTTATTGTAAATAAAAATGAAGAAGTAACCAGTTAAATGAGGATGGATAGTACATGATGATGCATACCATTTAATGCAGATTTCTATACAATATATCTAACCAATTTTTTATTTCATTCAAAATCTTACACACTGCACAGAGTATTCTCATGGTTTTTTATTATTTAAAAAATAACAATATAAACTTATTATTTTTAATTTATTTTGGATTTAATATCATTGTTAGTTGTTTGCATCATAGATAATTATCTCTAAAATAATTGTGTCTAACAATGGATGACATTGAAAACGAATTAAATTATTTAAAGTATTAGAAGTAGTAATTGTCATGAAAATTTTTAGCTGTTGAGTAGCTTGATTAGATTAAGAAACTTCCATGTTGCAAGGCCACGCCAAAAATAAGTCAGAAATACACGAAAAACAAATATCTTAAAAAAATCTGAGTACTACAGTAGTATGTAGAATCTCAATGACTATCCTGCTTGACATATAGTTGTTGTTGACTTTTTGTTGATATTCAAAAGAGCCTATATGATTTACTTTTAACTTTAACTTTGCTCCCACTTGCTGATATTATGTAGTGGGTAGTAATTACCTAAGTGTCTCATATCCCTCTGGTGAACAAAGTAGACTTTTGGCATCCACCCAAGCGATGTGAGTAAGGTGAAATGTGTCAACTCCAGTGGTATTTACCAAGGTGAATTTTTTCATGTTGACCATCACAGTTTTAGCCTAATCTAATTAAATGTGTCAAGTTGCCTGGTTTTGTTAACACAAGAATGGTGGAACATACATAAATATAAACGAGACACTTTTTTTTTCTACTGTGTCTCATATAAAGGCAGACAAAAGCTAGAGATTTCAGGCAGAGAAAGACACCACTTTCTCATCAAATCATTTCATCTGGATTTAGATCATGTGGGTGAAATAATTTCCTAATGAAGTGGATCAGAGAGATCAGAAAGTCGCTTCGTTTATATTGTTGAACATAGTGGAATAAGCATAGGTAACTATGGTTTGCCTTTAATTCTAATCTTAGCAGGTAGGTTAGAGACCATATTTTGAAAAACATTTAGAGATTATCTTTCAGTAATTTAGTAAATCATAATATAACCGGTTGATAACCTATTTTAATCTTTTGCTATGGCTATTTTAGAACATGGGTAAAAAAGAAGATGTTTATAAATCTTACCTCAGATAGAATGCCTCCCCCGCAGCCAACATCGAGAATCTTTTTATCCCTCAAAGGATGCAAGTCTTTTTTTGTAGAAGTTACTAGACCATCTCTGACAAAAGGCACCCTGAAATTTTTCAATATAAATTATTTTGGAATGTATTATGCTATAAACCATGTTTTGTTTCACAATGTAATACAATTCTTAAAGTGACTAGCTTACCTTAATAGATTCATGCTGTGTAACAAGCGCAGTTCTCCTTTCGGATTCCACCAATCTTTAATTTTTTGTGAAAAGAATTTTACATCGTCGGCATCAATAGTTGAGTTTTTATTATACGACTGCCCAATAGGAGTATCTTTTACTTTGGTTTGATTCCTCCGCAAAGAAAGTGTACAGTTCATTTGAGGTATCTTAGATGCTGCGGTCCTGTAATATTCGTACACATTTCAATTTTTTCTGTTTCAGTTGGATAATTTTTTCAAATAAAAACGATTAAACAGAGAGTATACGTACATGGATTTATCAAAAATATACTTGTTAAGTTTCCACATTGTCTTTTTTTAATTTTTTATATTGGAAATTATTTGTAAATAAACACCGGTTAGGAATTATTGCACTTTGACAGTCAGTGACATAACAATAACCTTACTTTTTTGACTTTTCTCAGCAGTTAAAGGAATGGAGACGTTCACGAAGTTTCGGAATACAACGAGTTGTTATTATATATTATAGTTAAGGTGCCGCGGTGTTATTATTCGAAGGTTTCGGTGTAGTTCTAGTTTAATAATGTGTAACCTTCTTATGTAGCGGTGTAAATTACGTTTTTTCAATTATCAATGACTGCACAATGTGTAATAAATAATTCTGATGCTGAATAACAGCATATAAATATTATTATTTTTAAACAAGAATAAAATTGAGCTAATAAAAATGGTAGCGTCAAACGCGTCGTGAGCACTACTCACAACTAAATGTTGATTCGACTTTGTTCAAAGTATTTTTATGCTAATTTTAATATTTGCACACAGTGCTTACTACATTGACCCTTCTGAGACTTTGTTATTGTTTACTAAGTTATCAGAGTTATTTTCTTTTTTATAAACTTTGCCCCACACTAAGATTTTCTTCAGTGTTGTGGGTGCCGTTACAAACATACAATTTCACATACACATGACACCCAGACCCGGAACAACAATTTGTGGGTCACACAAAGAGTTATTCATCAAACATGTTTTAATTAAGTTACCTAGCTTATTTAACTAGGTACATAAAAAAAGTACCTATGTAGATCCCATTTTGTTCAATAACTTGCTATCTTGTTGGTTTTGGTAAGCCTCTCGTGATGTTAACCTGATGCTGTACAAAGAATTCTGAAGAGACAAAAACAGGTGGAAGTTTGAAGCTCAGAACTACACAGCCCCAGCCGTAATTTCTTGATTTTTGCTGAGTACCTACCTACCTAAAGATATAGTGAGGTCTAGCGTTAACATGATGAAAAGTCACACTCCTTCTGTGGATTAATTCCGGCCGCTTTCTCTTAACTTCCTGCTTTAATCTCATCAGTGCAAAAAACTAGTTATGCCCTTTTAATAAAATAAAGATTAAAAAAAAAGAAACTAGTTATAAATATTTTCTTTATAATTTAAACTTACAGTGATATCTAAACCAGCCAAGTACAAAATATAATACTTATAGCCAAAGAGATCTAACTACAAGTCCGATAATACGAAAGACTTTTCTCCAATCTAATATACGAATATACGAAATAGGTTACCCAACTGTTGTGGATGGTGGATTTCGAGTTTAAGTATGTATGTTTTCATTTTTTTTAAACATGACCCCAAAATATCTGCTGTATGTAGGTATTTTACGTTTCATATATGTTAACATACGGTCGACTCTAGGCTATTCATAGTGGACCTATCTGACCATTTTTTTTAATTAAAAGTCATTACGGTACCACTTTTGTCTGAAGTGCTCGCCTTCCTAGATAAAAGTGGTATTGAACCCGTCTCTACCCGTAATCCGCTAGACCGGTCTAATAAATTGATCTTAATATAGTCTTACAACTTCTACTTTAATTCATTAAACCCTGAGCGATCGCCGGCGTTCGCGCATATATTGTCACGGTATATATCTAGATATTATTATGTCATAAGAAGGCACTTTTACACGTCAAATTATGTGTAAAAAACTAGATGAGGCCGGACATGTACAAGTCGTTCACGTAAATTCAATAAAAACCTTTTTGTAGCCTTTGGAAGTGAACTAGACCTGGTCGACACCAGTGTATGTGATGTAGGTAGTGTTTACATATATTTATTCAAACAATGCAGGTGTATCAACTGCAACATAACGTTTGAGCAATTATATTTTTAATTAGTAGTGAGTTTAGTTCAAGGTACCTACTCGTAGCTACAAAGGCGACTAAGTAGAAGCACTTATTTATTAAATTAATCTGAATATGTACATTTATATTACTTCCTTATTATCTATTCTAACATTATAAAACTGAAGTGTTTCTCTGTTTATTATGTATTACAAATAACTTGATAACTGCTGAAATGGTACATAGGTACCTACTGTTATACTTAGTCATCAGTCATAAATATTAGGGATGTCTTAATAGACTAAGAAATCACATAGGTATAACTTAGTTAGGTACTTGCCAGGTTCCGTATATCTCACATATCTGTAAGTATCTCGATGCTTTATGTATGTTAAATAAAGCGAAAAGCATTATTTTGAAAATCCAATGAAGTACGGTAGGTATTTAAAATATTTAGGTAGTCTTTATACATTTAGGTAAAACTGAACACACTGTATTATCAATAGGTATCAGCATTTAATTTAAATCGCACAATAAATTTAATTATTAAAGCAAATGCATATATCTAGTTATGTATATCTACCGAAAAAGACTTGGACAACAACGCATTTATTAAAATCGTAATTCCGAAAGAATCGTCTTTTTTGCGCTATTGCACTAGCGTCAAGTAATTTTTCACGCGTTTTCCAAAAACTATGTATAGCACCGATTATTTTTATCGTTCGTATCGATAAATTTGTAATGTTGGTCAAAAAATACACACGCGTATTAAAGGACGTTTTTCAACGCACTTCTGAACAAAATAATACTTAAATTTAAAGAACCATTTTAAAATGCTTCGTATTGGCGGGAAAAATTTATCAGTTTTCCTATGCGCGCGCATCGGCTATAGACTATACAGTAAAGTTTCCTTTTTTTTAGTTTTTCGCGGATTAGCATTTTAGCGCAAGTGTAAACTTAACAAAAAAATAGGTAAAAAAACTTTTTAAGTTAAACGGTTTTATATTAAACATAGGTACATTGCAATGTTTAAGATAAATGTACTAAACACCAAAAAATAATGATAAAAAAATGTTATCTGCCGTTTGGTAGCGGCGGCCATCTTAGATTTCAGTTTTGCATAACAAATTGTATTCTGCTCGTTGAGCTCTTTCATTTGATACCCATATTGATGGGATTGATAAAACCTACGTTATCCGCCATTTTGTAGCGGCCGCCATCTTGGATTTAAATTGTTTAAGTAGCTATATTGTATTCTGCTCGTTGATCCCTTTCATTTGATACCCATATTGATATGATTGATAAAACCTACGTTATCCGCCATTTTGTAGCGGCCGCCATTTTGGATTTATAATTGTTATGATTAGGTACACATAATTGTATTGTCACCAAAATCGAAAGTGTATACAAAATTTCAGATAAATCGGTTGACAGGAAGAGGGTGAAATTTGAATTACTAAATTTGACCCAAGAAAGAATAAAACTGAGCTAAATAAAACCGTTTAATAATAATAATAAAAATGAGTACCTAGGTAAATATAAAAATTGAATAATAGTTATGAAAAAGTCACAGCTTGGTTAGGTAGGTAGGTGTAGGTAGTATAATGTGTGGTGTTCACATTTAAGTGATTGTTACACTGTAAAATTATGTACTTTATAATTGAAATTAGGTAAACAATTGTTGGTGAATCTATTATAATAAAATAAAATAAAAAATAATAAATGACTCTATGAGGAAGTGTGTTGAAAATAAATAAAAACTGATTAAAACTACCTACACGTTACGAGTACATAAACGCAGCAAAATAAAGCGTGTTTTTTATTTCATTTCTAGTTTGGTTTCAATTTTCCTTAACCAAAGACCAAAGTTTGTCACAAGTACCTAGGTAGGTGTATGTTAGAAAAGAATAAGTATTCTTATAAATTTATAATTAGTATAGTAATGTTATCATCAAATTAAAAACAGTTCCTATTTAGCGTTTAAACCGATAGCTGACTAAAATACGCAAATCAAGTAGCTATATTTTATTGCATAAAGCACTCAGGAACATTGTAGCTATCTATCAGGGAAAGAATTTTGGAAATCCGACTAGCAGCAGCGGATCTAAAGATCACCTAGCCCTACATAAAAATTTACAAATTTTACCTCTTTATATTAGTTTAGATAGGTACATATTATATCTGTGTATACTACTACCTGTGTAAGTAATGCTATTTATTAGATAATCTGTGAAGTAATGTCATGCGGAGATGACATAACTGAAGATAAATCCTCTTCGCTCTTAGCTGATGGAATGACTCTCACAATTGAGTTTGATCGTCTCACAGGATTGCGAGTTGCACGAATGGCAAAGTTATAATCAGGTTTGCGCTCCGAAGACTTGGATTAATTAGTAATGGGAACGGATATTTTCATTTATAATAAGGTATTCCCGCCTTTTTGTTCGTGGGCATTGAGGGAAGGTTTTCTGTATTATTGAATTAAGCTGTTTGTTGGCGAAACGCGAACTTAGGAGATAGTTAGCAGTAGATATATATTCATAATATAAACTACTTACTACTAATAGGTATAATTATGATGTCATTTAAATGATTCTTATTCTTACATTTAAATAATGTGTGAATTGTGAAACCACTGCTACTGAAATTGGAAATGAAAATAACAACACTTGCTTTTTATGAACTAGCACGTACCTAAACTTGGAAATCTATATACCTTCTTAATCAAATAATAACTAACTAATTCTCTAACACTTGTAAGTGTAGATAAAAGACTAGAAATATTAAGTTATGAGACACCTAGATAGCTACCGACATATTCGCAAATGGTACATTTCACGATTTAACTACTAAGTAGTAGTGCTCTTAAATACATAAGTAAAACACATAACAACTCTGATTCCAAAGCGTGTTCCAAAGAGTATAAAGATAATAAAATGCACCGTACCACACTGGAGTAAAAACAAATAAAATGTTTTTGTTGTTTTTATACTATTTATCTACATGGAGGACAAGAAAGTTTGCATACGTAATAACATAGACAATCTAAGCCAATCGCAGAAAAAATACCAAAATATTATACAGCTGTTAGTGTTCCGATTTACAATACTACACATAAATATTATGTATTCTACTTTAAACTGATCTTTAAAAATGAAAATTCTTTACGTATGAGAATTTCACCCTTATCTCTCCAAATAGGAGCACTTTAGGTTATCGAGTTTCTTGCCTCAGAAATTGTATTTTTATTTACTTGTAGTGTCTATAAAGTTGTAAAAACCCAGAATTATAATTTTCATGCATGTCATAGGGTTAGTCTTAGTTGATGAAATTTCACATAGAATATTTGGGTGATAAATCGAAAATCGGATACCTAACACGCCGTATAATGAATCGGACAACGGCATAATGCATTGTCATCGTCAATGTCAAACGTTAATACATTTTTGTATAGGTACAAAGTAAATTAAAATAAAACTGATGAATAAGAATCCGCAGTCTAAGATAGGAATTGTAGACTTGTCTAAGTTTGGCCCTAGTGTATTTACCCTTACTTTTGTGTTAGAAGTGATAGGGGGCGATGTTTGGAGCGATTGTGGCGAAGGATGGGTCGAACTTGGAAGTATAATCCATGGAGCCAAATTGACTTATCAATTGTATCATGGTCAAATATTTGAGGTGGAAGTCGTGGTATACCCACATGCGGCTAAGGTAAATAAAATTTGCATGATTTTGGAATATTGTCGTCACATTTTTTTATTTAAACTTGCTAAACAAAATTGTAACCGCGAATGAAAAAAATGCTTATACAAAAAGTTTTAGTCCGTTCTTCTTTTAAGAAATTAATATATAGTTACCTAGGTACTTTAAACGAGTTGGTTTAGAGAATGAGTCTTATTATACAAAATTCCAATTCGGACCTATTACTAAGAAAACAATTTGGTTTTTCACAATATATAGGTACTTTACTCGGTTTAAAACCAACCTTCATATCTTTTTGACTGTCAGTTGGTGTGGTGGCTGGGCAACCGGCTTCAGCGCAACGTGTCGGGTTCGATTCGCACGGAACAACCCCTTGTGTGATCCACAATTTATTAATTAGGGCCTGTGTATCACGTGTATGTGAAATTGTATGTTTGTAAACGTACCCACAACATAGAACATCGAAGTGCGGGGAAATGTTTCTATAAAAAAAACTACTCGACATTTATAGTAGGTACTTGCTTGCAATATTAAAACTATCTTAACACTCCTCAAAGTTCTCTTTTCATCACAGATAGTATACGGAAACAATTACGATTGGGTTCGAACGTGGCAGTTTTTAGAAAGAAGATTTCTGACGTTCACGATTCGCCATGCTTTCCCAGTGAGGGTGACGGAATTCCAGAAATTCGTAGCAACAGTGACACCACACCCTGGAATATCTGCACTTAGTTCTAAGTATTGTCATTAAAATTATTTAATTAATAGTTTAAACACATCCTGTGTCCAAAGTACTCACTTAGGTAATTATGACAAATAATGTAGGTATCTATTATTCTCTGTGCTATTTTATGAGGGGAATATCATGAATGTCTTCTCTCGCCCAGGATGAGGCGAGAGGTAGTGTCAGACTCTAATTGACTAAAAACACCCTGGTCCTTTACCTGCTCTAAGCAGAAGCCGCGTTACTTTAATGCGCTTGCCCCGCAATCCCGGCTGAACATCGGTTCTGTTGGGCCCCGTATATGGTGGTCTGTTGGCTCTTCGAGACGCGCGCAGATTACTATGTGGCGTACGATCGGGATTATTCTTTATCTAAGTTGTCGATTTGTTAATTATCATTTTTTCCAGTGCTAAAACCGAGAAAACTCCTTACGTTTACTTCCCTCCTCTGCAATTCGGCGAACGTCGACAGTTCGCCAGAGTTTTTGATTCTGAGTATCCCTTCAAAAGGTATATATGGGACTTAATATGGTACCGTGTCGTGAATTATATTCCTACCTCATACATGGATGGCCTGTTCGATACACCATATCCAGTTTATGGTATTTATTTCAGCATATTATTTTAATATATTGTTTTTCTTTTACGTCAGCAATACTGTTACATTTTAGTATAATTTTAAGTTATGAGAGTCTTTAGATTGATCAATTTGTGAACTAAAAAAAGTCGCCATCTTGGTCCGGAAGTTAAGACATTCGGTTCTTGTACATAAGGGTGCGGGCTCGAAACCTGGCAAGTACCAATGTGGCTTTTTCCGAGTTACCCTTCTTAGATCTATTAAGACATCACTGAAATACGACAAAGGAAAATATCGTGAGGAAACTTGGACTTAATAATTTTTAATCTACCTATAAGTTTTTATTCGTCAATCTGCCTTAATCAAGCGTGGTGATTAATGCTCAAACCTTCGCTGTGTGAGAACAGGTTATTGCTTAACAATAGGCACTTTTAGGCTAATGATGTGATTGGAAAAAAATACTACCCAACACATTTTTATACATACGAGTACGTATACAGGTAGGTACAAATTCTTATGTAAATCAAGGTTCAAAGTCTTAATAGGCAATTGTTGTCGCTTGTAGCCCATTAACCCACAACCTTTAATTGTAGATATCAGGCATCAGGATGCAGTACTTTATCATGTACATGATGCCGTTTTAAACCGTTCTGTTTTGGTCCAATCGGAGAGCAATATTAACAAAAGACGTCAAAGCAAGACGGACAAAAAGAAATTCGCTGAAGAATCGAACCCAAAATTTGACGTGCAACTTTCTGGTGATTGGATCTTAGCTGGTAATTGATCGAATGCAGCATGTTTTAAGTAAGAAACTGATTTTGCCTAAGTTGAAGTTAGTCCAGGACGACATGCGCATAGTTCGAAGTAACCTATCGAACGGTTAAAAACCATATATCTACTATAATTGGTCAGCAACATATTTTTATACATTTGTTCGATAAGCAAATTTACACTTTACAGGAGACGTGGACAACAAAATTATGGATGTTGAAATGAGTCCCAAGTTTAAACTGGTTAAGCTTAGTAATTCTTCATAATCCACTAATTGTTTTGTACCAATTTCATTAAATCAATAGTATATGTTGGCGTAAATGGATGAACAAAACGTAAATAATGTTCCAGGAGTCGGCAGAGTTATACCATTTGTAACCACAGGCCTTCGTCTACCAGAGCTCGGTGAACTAATAACTCTAATAAGTACTAGCAATTTACCTTCATATGACGACTTTGCGATTTTTTTCGCCAACATCACTAATCTATTTGATCTTCCGTTGGATCATTTAGTAAAAAACAAGTAAGTAGTTGTATTTGGGTGAAATTTTACTTATTTCGGTAATGATTTATGAGATAACGTTAGTAAAAAAAATTACAGGAGAAGAATATTATTTATTAGAGTCTATGACAGATTGGACTGTAAAAATCCAGAATGTATTTGCAGTTAATGTTCTTATATCGTATATTACGTATTATTTGTCGTTTGATTATAGTTTCACTCATGTTTATACGAGATGGACGCTCAGCGACGAAGATTGGCGTTCAGAACAAATATCTTTAGAAAAAAGGGTATCCAACTCCGAGGTTAATTTTAATGATCACCACGCACTACCACTGTCTAGTGCTGCAGCTTCTGATGTCATGGCAACATTTTTGGAAGAACCTTTTTGTATAGAAGTAAGAAATAATTATTCATACAAAACTAAAGCCTATTTAAAACCCATATTTAATTAGCGGACCCAACAGACGTTGTCATGCATATGATATTTCAAGCAATTAGGGTATTAAAAAAGCTATGACCATGTTATGCGTGAAATATTGCGAAAGAGAACATTCGAAAACATCCGCTTCCTCAGACACAACTTTGAGCTAGATCGGTTTCTCGTCGCCGAAAACAATCAAATTTCAGCGAAATCGTTAGGGCCGTTTCCAAGATCACAGGCTTTTTAAGCCATCAGTTCCATTTGCCGGGCTGATTTGTGAATCTAAACCGTCCAGGGCGCCACTCAAACGCATGCAGAAAAAAACATTTAAATCGGTCGAGCCATTTAGAAGGAGCTCAATGACATATACACGTACAGCCGAATTATATATATAAAGATAATAAGAGTTTTAATGAGTATATTTTGATTGTAGCTTCGCGGGATAAGGATACCTCCAACGACACAAAAATCAAAATTTTTCGGTTATGACAAAAATGATCGTGATTTTGCTATTGGCATAACACCACCAATGCCTAATCAAGAAGTGGATATTCTCATTGCACAGACGAAAATAGATTCGAGAGCTTTAAAAAAAGTCAATGCTGTTGTCAAAGGAGAGTTTTCATTATTCCCCCCTGAGACATATATTGTGCCACTGGAACGTGAAGGAATTTGTACAAACGATATAAATGCAATAAGAACCAAGGTCAAACCGGAGTTTGTTATTCAACCAAGTAAAGTCCTAGAGGCACAGATGACATTAGAAGTATCGTTTGGACTTGTAGGATGTAAACCTCATCCAACAAATCTTAGATATTCTAGATTATATTGTCTTATTAGTGACCATAACGCCATAATGGCTATATTACGACACATTACGGAAATAAACGAGTTACTGCTGTTATCTGGCCATAGACTTGGTTTACTGACAGGATTTGCGCTAGATACAGGAGATACTGTGATATTGTATGTGGAAGGGCCGAAAGATGGTAATATATTACGAGTATGGGAAAGGACGGAAGATTTTTATCCTACTGTGAAACCTCTTTTCTCCACTTCCAGCAATTATATTGGGCGATTATATCCAGGTGATAAATCGTTTGTACACTGCTTGGTGAGAACTGAAAGCCTGTTAGTAATGTTGACCTATTTTTCTATATACAGAGTTGCTTCTTGGTGCCATGCCGTTTAATATTTTGAAAATGTTTGTGCCACTATCGGTTTTGTTGGGCTTGCCACCAATTTATGCTCGTCCAGCATTACCACTACCCGCTCGTGCCGTAAGTTATTTTCATTTTTTTACAATTTATTATTACGGCTTCCATCGCCGTCTTAAGTTTACCTAATCTTTCGTTTGTTCGATTGAATGATTACACAGGCCGTGCTGAAGATAGGACGTTTAATTAGCGTAAAGTTTAGTACTATCCCATATCGACGAGTAATGCCATCGGCAATGGAGCTGAAGAGTTTTAAGCTGGAATTTTGCGTGGCACCACGTCCTCCAGCGATTATTGCTACGAAACTTCCCTTGGCCAAAACAAGCAACGTTATTGGATCCCCTCAGAAGACAGTTTCGACAAAAGGTTGGGTAGTGATGAAAAATTAATTTAAAAAATAGTTGACTGAAGTGGATAAAGTGGTATGGTTTGTTGTGTTTACACAGAAACTGATTCCATTCTATCCATCTGTGAGGGTGTTCAGAGCAGGAGTGGTATTTAAGAATATATTATTTTTAAATAGTTTTTCATGTGACAGTACGGCAAACGAGCAGACGGATTACCTTACCGTAAGCAATCAGCGCCACCCATGAACACCGCAACAACGGACGTGTAACGAGTGCGTCGCCGACCTTTTGAGGATAAAGGATTTAGAGATTTTGGGGTTGTGCTGGAATTGGGGGAGGCAAAGGATTTGGGTGGAATTGGGGGAGGCAAAGGATTTGGGTGGAATTGAGGGAGGGGGAGGATTGGGCCTCCAGTAAACTCACTCACACTGCGAAACAATGCTGTGGTTATCACTCCGGTCAAGCCAACTCAAGCGTGCTGAAACATGGCTCTCCCACACTAATATATTTTTAACTTGCGTTAGGTCACACGAAAAATGATGTACCTTCTGAGCAAAGTGTATCGTGGAGCGTTGAAAAAACGAAGCAAGAATCTTTATCTTGATTTTACAATTTTTTAGCAGAAAAGATACTTTATTCTTACTATTTTTCTGTTTTTTCTTCCATAGATTTATATAAAATATTCATATTTTTCTCTTACTACGTGTTGTATCTTTTGAATAAAACGAAGTTTTGTTTGTTTTCGAAGTTTTATTTAGATTATTGAAACCTTCTGCAAATTATGGCAGGTTTGTTTACGGAATATTTCTAAAGAGCAGTTTTCGTATTGGTTATTTTAGCGATGGCCGCAGTATTTTGTGTATCGCCTGGAAGTGTTACAACCTAAATTTGAATATGTAAGGATATTTGTATCGTAACGTTCGTTCATAATATATATATGTTTGTTTAAATTTCAAATAATTACAAATCCTAGCTTAATTATATTTGCCATGGTAAGGTTGGCTAGTAAGGGCAGCCCTCCGCCCGACGGCGTAGCGTTGCGCACGCATCTCAAATAGCCTTCAGACCACCATACATGGGGCTCAATAGGGCTGATACTTAATATACCACAACTGCGGTACAGAGCAGGAGTCGAAATATGGCGATTTTTAGTCAGAGAGTCAGAGAGTCAGTTGGATTTCGAGTCTGACACTTCCTCTTTTCTCACACAAGGCAAGAGAAGGCATTTGATGGTGTTCCATCTGAGAAAAGGAGGAGGTAATTAAATCTTAAGTAGAATAATATCAAAATACCTTCTAAAGAAGTATAATCAATCACTTATTGAAATCCTTCCGTCGCGTGTCAAGTCAATTGAACTCATAAAAATTCACCTTCACAAAACAAATCAAACTTGATATTTATTATGTTCAAAACTAAAATTAATTTGACTCAACTAAATTTTAAGTTGTTTGCATCTCTAGTAACTTGGAACATGCTAAGTTATATCATTTTGTTACAATGGCATACATGTTGGGGTGTTTAGGGTTGTACGTGGTTCAAACTTTGGAGTTCCGTGGCTTGTTGACTCCTGAGATGTCTGAAAAGAGGTTTCTCAAGCCGTGGTTTCTGTTCCTGTCGACTTTGTGATAATGACAAAGCGAAAATGACGTATCTGAATGGGTTTCGACATATTAATAGGTTCTTTCTGTTGCATGTTGGCCTAGCTGGTTTCGTTTCTTTTTAATAAATGTTGCCCCACACGAGATTCTCCTGTGTCGTGGTAGCGGTAACACACCTACAAAATTTCACATACACATGACACCCAGACCCGGAACAACAATTTGTGGATCACACAAAGAGTTGTTCCGTGCGGGAATTGGTCCTGCGATACGTTGCACGGCAGCCAGTTGTCCAGCCACCGCACCAGCTGCAGTCAAAGATAATGTTTATAAAATGTTTCTTATGAGCAACTAACGATCTTGACGCGTTCGTTCACGCTGTACGTATCCTACATATAACCGTTTGCTTTTTTGTTTCTTTGTATTAGACACATCCTTGTACTTCAAGGAATATTCTAAAAAAATGTTTTTAAAATAGGTACACTTTCAAGATTCATTTTAATATAATATAAAAAGAGAAAAGAAGATAGATGCCTATGACCTTGAGATAATAGTTATGATTCCTTAAAAATTCTTAACATAGAAAAGACAACCATAAAATTATTAAAAATAATGCAGCAATTTGTCCTCCATTGATTTGAAGCTAAAAGGCACAAAATAGCATGCTTTAAGACGCAAAAATGTTGTGACATGTTACATCTTGCAATTTCATACAAAATTATTTATGGTAAAATTGTCGGTATTAACGATTCGAAAAACGAATTTGGCTAGTAGGAAACTATCCTATTTAATGTATCTGGGTGGTAGAAAGTCTGTCTGTAGTGGTCGAGTGGATATCTAGTGATAAAATGCAGCCACATGTGGCATTTACCACTCCCGCACTCTGTGGCTCGATCGCGGTCACTCGATACTCGATTCCACTCAGTTTACACTGTTTTTGTTCGAGATATATTTAACTAGTATCTGCCTGCTTTACCCATAATTCTAGGGTGTTTTGGTAACCTTTCTATTAATCCCGATTATAATCTGTGACACATTTTATTCAAAACCACTCAGTACTATTTACGCAAATGAGTAATTTATGCTTTCAATTTATTATTTACAAGTTTCTAAGTAGGTACTATGTAAAAATATAAGGTATATTACGTGTATGCGTGGATGGTACATGTAATTTGGAGAGATTTATCGAAAATCCCAGTAACATGTCACTAAGGTATATTTATCACAAATCGAAATGAAAACCTCAAAGATTACGATCAGAAGACTGAAGATAAAGACGCAATTACGAATAAGTACAATTAATTAAACCATAATGAGGCTGGTCATAAAATTATAGCAGCTAGGTCCAACTGAGCATAAAATAGGATAAAAGTAAGCTTTCAGTATTAGGGGATAATAAATCTGTGTGACATCAAAATGAAGACGGGATAGCAATAAACACTGTCATCTAGAGTAATGTCGTCGTGTTTTAGGCTTATCTGTTAACGAAGGCAGAAATTTTCGCCTCCGTGAAATTGGTAAGATGGTTAACTATAATTTATAGCATCACCTTGTCACTGAAATTACCCATTTTTGTACTGCTCCTTATTAAATGTTGGGATTGTTGTAAAGATACAAAGTGAAGATTTTTGTTGATCCAGTGATCGCAAAAGTGATTGCTAAATATGCTTTTCCTTGGACCTTTATCCCAATCATAATGCTTAGCATTTGTATTGCAATTATTTTTAAACGAAGTGACAAATCCGCGGTGGGGCAAATGGAAAAAAATGGATTCAAAAAACCATCCCGTTTTTAGGTTCTCAAGTCACAATGTACACACATCTTGGTAAATGCCGTAGTTTATACCTACTTACTAAGAACCACGTGGTAAAGTCTAAAGTTTTGATGTATATCCTCGCAAACTTTTGTTTTGCAACAATGACAGGTCCCTATTATTCCATAAATTATGAGCACAGAACGGCCTAAGGCTAAGAACTCACGGAGCGATTTTGAACCGTGCCCGCCGCGGTAGCGGAACTGCGGTTTTATTTCCAAACTCACGAGACCGGTTATTTGCGCGGTTACACAGCCGCCGCGGTTGCGATCATCGCCCGCCACGTTTGCGGGCGATGATCGCAACCGCGGCACGCAAGATTGCAAGACGGGCGGTTAACGGTCAGGTGAGGTCCAGACCGCCATGGACACACACCAGAAACGAGCCGTTGCGTTATATTTACTTCACAGAAGACCCGCCGGCCCCCGCGGTCGCTCGCCAACCGATCGCAAAGCGCGCGGGTGCCACCCGCCGAGGCTGCGGGTAACCGCGGCCCGCGCGATTCTACTAGTTGCCCGCCGGTACAGCGGGAGCCGCATACAACCGCGTACACCGCGGGCGTAAAACGCGTCGTGAAATGTGCTTTAATTTTTTATATAAATATTTGAATTCTACAGAAGCTGCGGGCCCGCAACCGCAGCGGCCGCGGGCAAAAATCGCTCCGTGAGTTCTTAGCCTAAAGCATTTCGTGAATCAGCCAGGACTTAATGTTACAAAGTTGGTGAGAACGTAGTTGACAACAATACAGCATCAATTATTCATAATAACATACTAGGCACTCCGGACGATAATCGTTCCTTTAAACAAAGTGCGACGTTAAAACTTCCGTCCTACCTGTAACTTAATACAACATTTTGCACACCTAAGCGGAATGAAGTGAATAATTATACATAATTTACTTTTACAACTTTATGAAAGTTTACCCGGTAAACTCGGTAAGGTGTTGGTAACTTTCGCTTTTGTCATAAGTTCGTACTTTGACATTATCACT